TATAGAATCATAGAATGTTTCTGTCTCCCGGGTTGTTACTTCTAGAAAAAATGTTTAGAGACCACATTTTGGCCTTCTGTCAGATATTCCTGCCAGTTCTGCAAAAGAAAGGAAAATAATAGCTGAGACAAAAACCGCTGAATGCTATGGATGGACATTCACAGCGATTCAAAGGGCAAATCAATTAAATATCAAAATATCTTCCCTTTTTTATGGGTTTATTTCATATTTCCACAAGCATCTGATGGTGGCACACATGTAATTCCATTTATCTGCACTATTTAATCTATGGAACTTTCCATATAGAAGTGGAAACTTCCAAAACTGTGATCCTGGAATATACTGTAATTTGATTCCTTTCTAGTAATCTACTGTTGTGGTCTTTATAACAAGCCTAAGGAACAGATATTTACAGGGGAAGAAATCATGCATTTTAAAAGGCCGTGTAGAAGCTCAGTGAAGCAGAACATCAGAGTACACATTTTATTCAGCTCTATTATGATTAAACGTGCATGTCCTATTTTTGGAACCATTTCTCAAGTGCGGCTTCAGTTGTTGTGCTGGAGTAGTGTCTCATAACACACACACACATACAACACATGGTAATGACATCTAGTGTGCAGGAAAAACATAATTGGCAGTTTTCAAGCGCTGACCAGTCAAGTGACCACTGGCTGTCTTCTGGCATGACATGAGATTTAATTAAGGGGCGACGTTTCATTTTCTGAGACTGAATCTGAAGAACACTTACAGGAAAACATTTTTTTGAGACTGCTGCGCTGAATGAAAGTATTTTTTTTTCTTCTGAATAAAATTGATTGTGCTTGCCAAGGCTAAAGTTGCCACCAAGATCGCCAGGGCTAGTGGTTCCCAAGGTCTTCTGAATGGTTTCTAGTTGGTTACTTACTGGCCCAAAGTAAAAACATCCAACCCCATGTCTCTATATAAGGATTGGTCCCCCCTTCAATGTAAGTCTTATCACTATTTCAGTCTTTCCACTTGAAAATGTCAAGTTTAATTCAATGTATTACTTGCTGTATCTTGTAATTCACTTAAATGTATTAGCAGTTGAGTAAAAATTGTTTCTACGCCAAATGTTTCTCAGTGTAGCACAAACAGCGCAGGACAAGTAAGATTAGGAATTTGTTAAAATACACATAAAATGATGAAATAAAGACACTACTTGACAGGGTAACATTTTTGTAAATTTAGTTTATACCCTTAAGAGCTGTGCTGCTGCAGTGTATCAATTTACTGGGTCATAAGCGCCCCGTCACATGACATGGCACCTCAAGCCACATCCCATAAACCAACACTGAATAACGAAAACACAGTTGTATACACCAACAGCGAATACAAACAGAACAAAAGTAAATATCAAAAAGTATCTCACAAGAGCAGTTCATCAGGTAGGTATTGAAGACATTGACTTAACAGTGTTTGCGTGTATCTCATAGATAATGTGATACCAATGATAATTAGTGTGAATTAGATGCGATTGGGGTGCAATTGTTTTGAGTTGCTGTTGAACAGTATGGCCAGAAATATACCTTTCCACAAGTATGCAGACGCAAATATTTGGTCAATGCATTTGCTTTGTTGAATATGTTTAGCGTGCGAGCAATTAACATGCCAACTGTTTACTTGCTCCGCCATGACAGTAGTTGACCTGAAAGAATAAAAATGACTGTAGAAGACAAAATGCAATGCAACAGATTTCAGCGTTGTTATAAATAGTGGTCTGACACATTTCAGCTAGAATCATTTACGTACTTGCACAGAGTATGTTGAAAGGTTTAAAACTTGTTAGGAATCTCTCACCTGTTTGATTCATTGGTGGAATGCGCTTTAGAATTTCTTTGTCTTATCTTGCTCTGTAGCCCATGCAGCATATTGCAGGTCATGCTGGATTGTCAGACACAACATTTTTTTCTGTTTACTTCTTAAGATCTGTTTCTTCAAGGCACAGCAAGAAAGCATGGTACAAATCACAACTCATTTACATTCAGTTTGGCAAGAAAACCCTCCACCCACCCCTTCCAGGCCTAGAACCACCAGCAGCAAAGACCAAGAATACAAAATTTACTAAGAAAATGAAAGTGTTACAGAAGCCAGAGCAAAACTTGATGGATCTAAAGAGAGCTGCAGGCTGGTTTGAGTTGAACAACATGCAGTTGGAGACTCTGGAGTTGAAGACTTGTGTGTAGCAGGATCAACGTGCCATTTTCAGTTTGAGTCATAACACCATGTAAATCATTTTACGAACATATGGATTTGATGATTCTTAAAAGAAGGTTCTGATTTCAATACAAGCTCCATTGGCAGTTATAACTTTAACTCATCTCTCAGTTTGTAAAACAAACAAAAAAAGTGTATACAGTAATGCACTTACAATAAAAGTCTATAGACTGCGATAAATGTTAAAACACATGATGTTTTGATTCTAAAACCACAAATCAATCTAAATATATGTTATCACGAAACTATTGTGATAAAACCGCTTACCTTGTCTGGTCAAATTTAGATCTGAATTTTAGATCATGTAAACCAAAAACGACTTACAGTTCAAATGACACACTTTTATATTAATATACAGGGCTTTAGACTAAAATGCACAACAATAATGTAAAATCAAGTTGTGAAAGCTTTTGCGCTCAAATGCATTTTCCTCAATCATCTCGTTAGAATGTAAGCTAAATTGGGTGGGTTCCTGTCCAATTCAGCGGTTTTGAATTTGATTGTGTGGGTAAAAATTGGTTTGTGTGTGTGGATAAAATTTGGGCTGGTTGGGGGTCAGTTTGCCGGTTTTCAAACATCTAAATTTTATAGGCTAATTGGTTAACAAACAAAACCCAAGTGTGCATGCATTGCATCCAATCAGTCATCATGACGTTACTAAACACACACACCTTCTGAAGAGTCGGCTGATGTTGATGTTGCCTGCCGCACTTTTAGCCCCTCAGTAGGGATCAGCAGACAGATGTGATGGTTCACGAGTGTAAGTTTTAAGTGCGATAAGGCAGGGGTTTTCAAACCTGTCCTGGAGGCCCCCCAGCTATACGTCTCCCTTATCAGACACACCCAATTCAGGTCTGGCAGTCTCTACTAAAGAGCTGATGAGTTGAATCAAATGTGTTAGATGAGTGAGACATACAAAATGTGCAGGGCAGGGGGGCCTTCAGGACAGATTTGAAAACCCCTGCAAAAAAAGAAATCAGATTTTGAATGTATAGCTGTATATTTAAGTGATCACAATGCCAGAGTGGCCTAAATATAAGTTATATAAAGAGTGGGAGAGTGACTCGACCCTCAAAACGTGAATTATACCTGTGGAGGGAGATGACGTGAAGGCTCTAATATCATTGTAAATTGTAACTCTGAAATCAGAGCACAGGTGAATAATTTAATCAAAATCTAAACTGAATATGGGACTATATGATCCTGTCCTGCATCAGGACATCTTATAAACTATCCAGACTAGTATATCCTTGAAAGCTGCTGGACTTGATTAGTTTCGACTGCGTAAAGTTATGTATTACGTTCTACAATATGTACTTCACGAAAGGCTTACTCTAGTTAAAGTGCGACACGAAGGTAAGCACATTATTGTTGTTGTTTCTTTTTTATTGTCGGATTATCGTACAGTATGCATCAATGAATGACAGTTTTGATTGAGATGGTGTGTGCATGAATGAGTGTGAAATGCCTGCTAATTAAAATACCTGCTAGTTGCTTAATCCAGTGACTTATATTGGGTACTTTTTGCATTTAAATTGGTTTATTCTGACTCTTGGCATTGAAAATGATAGATGCGTTTTTTCAAGGGTATCGGTCAATTTCTTGCTGTTTTGACATAGTGTCTGCCTGCATATTTTAGTCATATTTGGTCATTCTCTTTATGTATTTGCCCTGATTTGATCCGTTTTCCTGGGAAATTGATCTATTTTTATAGAAGTTACTGTAACACTTTATTTTAAGGTCCAGTTCTCGCTATTAACAAACCATTAACTACGACTTTTACCTCAATAAACTGCTAATTGGCTGCTTATTAATAGTAAGTAAGGTATTTGTTATGTTTAGGTATTGGGTAGGATTAGGGATGTAGAATATGGTCATGCAGAATATGTGCTTTATAAATACTAATAAACAGCCAAAATGTTAATAATAGGCATGCTAATAAGAAACTAGTTAATAGTGAGAATTGCTGTTTATACTAAAGTGTTACCACAATTACATAATTTGTTGGCCAAAAAAGACAAAAAGACAACGTTTCATTTTAGAAGCCAATGGCTCCTAGCCTATTATTTTGCCTGGAGCTTTAATATAAGTGATTTTTTAGAGCTTTAAACCCTCTGGAATGCTCCATAGACCATACTCTAAGTGCGTTAATGTAGAAACTGAGGGAGTCAAATATACGCTGCCAATAGAGCTTAAGTCTTTTTGATCATTCCTCTAACAGCTCTTTTTTTGTTTGTTGTCTTTTTTCCTACAAACAGATTGTTTTTGCACTTTTTTTCAGTTCATTAAGTGGAGTCTGCTAAATTTGACTGTATATTAAAGCTTCACTTTCGAATGTCCTCTCACATCTCTTCCACAGACCAAACAACTGATTGAGCTTCACAGGAAAGAAAAAAACACAAATTATGGAATGAGTGCCTCGTTGACTTTGAAATCTACTGTAGTGCCAATTGACTGCAGTATGCACAACACAACTGCTATTGTCACTGCAAAACAAACAATAATTGGGAGCGACTGACTCTGGCGCACACTGCAATAAAGGTTGAGGGTGTTAATAACAGTAATAATAATCTAATAATAGGAAACACATGAAAACAACGCCCTCTCACCATAATGTTGCACAATTACGCACAATTGCTAAAATACAAATACTGAATAAAAATAACAATAATAAGCACAAACTGCAACGACAGCAAAAGGAGTAATAATAAGCAAATAAGATTTGGATGTCTCAACTCTTTGAAGCTATATATACAATGTGACTATGCATATAAAATGACATCAAAAAATCTGTCAAAATACAATGTCCCAAGCTTCAGTCAAACAAACCGCCAGACACCCATTAACGTCATTAAAGAGAAAAGAAAAATACAGAAGAAAGTAGAAAGCGTAGTCCGAGCAAGAGAAGTGGCTGGTCTCGTTCTTTGACAGATCTTTGCTTTTATCCACTTCAGATACTTCTTTGAAAGCTCATCAAAGTCCTCAGAACTAAAACCGCCATGTCAGTGAATTCCGAGCAAGCTTTTTGAAGCAGTTTGCTTGGATGGCTGCAATTTGTTGTCCTTTACTCGTAAATGGAGGTTGTAGAGGAAATTTTTTTTGGGGGAAAATCAGCCACTAGCTAAGATGAGGCATGAGGCTTTAGCGTTAGGGAGTAGGAACGGGGGGCAGGTTGGTCACTGGAAACCTACAGGACTGTCCATGAGAGGGCTCGGGCAGCTGGGATCTGGGTCATCCTTGAGTTCAGTTTCCAAAGTTTCCTCCAGATCCTTCTCCTCCAGATCCTTCTCCTCCACCTCTTCAGCATCATGCACTGAATTCTGGCTGTTCCCCATGGTGCCATAGCTCTGGTGGGCCGGAGAGGGCATGGGAGTCAGGCCCAGCTCTGGCTCCAGCAAGACGGAGGCTATAAAAAGCTGAGGAGGGAAAGAACGAGAGGTAAATAGATGGACAGCAAGAGTGTCATTATCTTAAGAGCTTCTTTTTTTGTTTATGTAACATGTGACATGTGAAGTGTCTTTGACACTGTGAGTGGAAGCCTTAGAGGAGATGAGAGGAGAGAGAGACAAATACATTTCATAAGGGGGACTTGAAAAGATAGTGTGATGAATTAAATGAGATGTGACTGGATGAGCAGGTACATTAGCTGTGGTTGTGGTGGAAACAGTGCTTCTTTCCGCATCAGTGAAGCCTCCTTCGGTCGTCTGATCGGACATCTGCAACAAAACAAAATAGCAATCAGTTTTTACTGCCTGAAGATATCATTTTCCTAAATAAATCATGTTTGAGAACTTATTTTCAAAGCCCAACAAACTAATTTCATCTCAGTGTTTTCAAGGCTGCACTGTTGACAAATGGATCTAGCTGTTAAGGTAACAATCATAAACTTTCCTGTTTTCCAAACACAACTATGTCAATGTATGTACACATTTGGGAGTATTTATGGATGAAACATGGATGGGCTACCTGCAAATACAAAGTGACAATGCATTCAAGGTATATATTTTTATAATTTTTAGTTAATGCACTCCCTGGGAATCAAACTCTGGGTGACCCTGGGTGATACATCTTTATGAATGGGTCGTTGAATCATTCACTCAACCAATTCATTTAAAAATGCAGATACATTTAGTAACAAAACACCACTGTGTGCTGTTTGGAGAGGCAGAACGGTTATGCTGTGGCTTTGTTTGGAACAATTTTCATTAGCAAAATAAAGCAAAAACAGACAATATCCTCAATATTGGGTCTAAAATGTAAATCACTTAACATTAACTTCATATTTGTTTAATCACTGTATAAATTCAATATAAAATAGTTGGTAAAAAATGCAGGTGCTTGTGTGATATTGCTTAGCTATATCATATGATATAAATATATAAACAAAAAAACAAGAACTCATACAGGGTCATTTTTGCCCCCATATCCTGAATTTTGGAGGCATTTTGTATTAATTCTGGTGGCATTTTTGCCCAAAGTCCTCGTTAATTTCTGAAAATGAAAATGTGTTGAACTATCATAAAAAACGTGTCACAATTCAACAAATCATAACTATAGTTTTGCTTAATGCAAAAATATAATTGCTTATTTTTCTGATGAGTTTGGTTTGAACCTATTCACTAATTAACTTACAGTTTTACCACCATATTCACCATGTTTCTACAAATCATCAAGATTGAGTTTTTTTCACTGACCTGATAGCTTGTTGATCTGTCAGGTCGTAGTTTTTTCAGACAGAAGCCAAAGCAGGAGAAGGCAATACAGCACAAGAGAGTTATGAAAGTGAACAGAGTGATGGGCTGCACTGGACCTGCACAAGAGATAAACCATGAGGTTTTGCTTTTATATGGGACAGAGCTGGAGACCTGATCTCTGTGGTCTTGGTCTTAAAATCTCTCAAGACCACATAAACATGGCCTTAGTCTGGGTCTGGGTCTCATTACTATTCTCTTGGTTTGGGTCTGGTTCTGGAAATGTACTTTTTAAAATATACTTACACAAGACCACAGTCTTGACTGCAATTTAAAAAAAAAACTGAATTTTTTCCCCCATTCCAGTTCATTAAAATGGACAGACTGAATCTGACTATTGGGGCTTAGATATGGTCTGGATCTAAGCCTTGAGTGATCTAGTCTTGTTCCGAGTTGGGGTCTTAAGGGGTGAACACATGTTTTATAGTAAAACATGAATACATCATAATGTCGGCATTAGAGCATTTGTTGTTCATCCATAGGTTACACAGTCATTCTAGTAATGTTTTAATTGGCAATTTCATTTTTTTCTAATCTGAGAGGAAAGCCTTTTGTACCTTTAAGGTACCAGAATGCATCCTTTAGGTACAAAGGTGTACCTTTTGAAAAGGTACCACCCCAGTGAGAGCTTTTGCACCTTTTTTTTTTTTTTGGAGAGTGCAGTATTGTTTTTGTTTTTTTAAACGTGGTTTGGTTATATTTTTAACAATGACAAACATTTAATGCAAGTACAATATAACCTGATACTTTCATCATTTTATATTTGACTAACTGAAAATATGCACATGGTCCAGGCATACTCAAGACTGAACTGAAACTCGTAGGCCTGAGAATGAAGAAATAGGTTGTTAGTGTTTTTAAGCTACGTGTCCACCAAAGCGTTTTTTTCCAGAGTCTAGCGTATTTTTTTTCAATGGGAGTGCCGTGTTTTTTAAAAAGCCAGGAGCGTATTGAGGCACTGACCATTTTTTCTTGGCGCCGAGAGCTGAAGAATGTTCAACTTTGGGTAAAAGGCAGTGCTCATCACTGTCACATTTTAGTCAGCTAACGAATCACAGTGAAGGAGGGGCGGGGCAAATACCAGTCCGACCAACCGTCACACCCTGCTTGTACTACGACTAAGTTAATATTGCTTGTATCCGAGTATTCGCGTCTTCACAAGCTTCACCTTTACAGTCACTTTCCCATTGAGAATGGGCAACAAATTTCTATTTGGATACTTTAGATTGGCCGTGGGCCCTGTGTCTCACCTGGTTGCCCGCTGACGGCAACATTGCTCAGCAACATTGCTCAAAAAATTGCCACGTGTATCATCACCTTAAAGGTATAGTTCACCCAAAAATGAAAATTACCCCATGATTTACTCACCCTCAAGCCATCCTAGGTGTATATGACGTTCTTCTTTGAGACGAATCCAACCGGAGTTATATTTAAAAATGTCCTGGCTCTTCCAAACTTTATAATGGTAGTGAATGGCTGTTATTTTTCAATAGTCCTAAAGAAGTTCAATAAAGCACATCCATCCACCATAAAAAGTGTCCCACACGGCTCATGGGGGGTGAATAAAGGCCTCTTGTAGCGAATAGATGCGTTTTCAAGAAAAAAAAAATCCATATTTAAAATTTTATAACCAGTAATCTCTAGCTTCACCCTCAAGCCATCCTAGGTGTATATGACGTTCTTCTTTGAGACGAATCCAACCGGAGTTATATTTAAAAATGTCCTGGCTCTTCCAAACTTTATAATGGTAGTGAATGGCTGTTATTTTTCAATAGTCCTAAAGAAGTTCAATAAAGCACATCCATCCACCATAAAAAGTGTCCCACACGATTACTTATAACCAGTAATCTCTAGCTTCCGCTAACTCGTACGCGTGTTCACAATAGAACGCCGTTCCGGCGGATTACGTAGTGTAGTGTAAAGTCCGGTGAGAATATGCTAGCCTCGCGAGAACCAACGTTTGTTTACAGGAGCAAAGGAAGCAAAGTTTCCTTACTTTAGCAAAGGAAAACTAGTCTCCTCTTGGCTTAAATTGAAATCCTCAGACAGTTTTCTTTATAAATCTTCATTTTGTACTTCTAATTCGTGACCAGTGTTTTGTTTTGCTCTCTCCGCTGCGCTTCCCCATTCGTCAATTCTCACCGGACCTTATGCTATGTCCTACGTCATCCACCGGAACGGCATTCTATTGTGAACGCACATACGACAGTTAGTGGAAGCTAGAGATTACGGTTTATAAAGTTTTAAATATGGATATTTTTCTTGCAAAAACGCATTGATTCGCTACAGGAGGCCTTTATTGACCCCCCGGAGCCATGTGGGACATTTTTATGGTGGATGGATGTGCTATATTTGAAATTTTTTTGGACTATTGAAAAATAACACCCATTCACTGCCATTATAAAGCTTGGAAGAGCCAGGACATTTTTTAATATAACTCAGATTGGATTTGTTTGAAAGATAAAGTCATATACACCTAGGATGGCTTGAGGGTGAGTAAATTGTGGGGTAATTTTCATTCAGTGTATGCGTTTGGAAAGACATGAATGTGAATAAATAATCAAAGAATTATCCTTTTCTTGGGGAATATATATATATATATAATTTTTTGTTTTAATTCATTCATTTATTTTTTTTGTCAAATCTGTTGGGCATGTGCCCCATAAATTTGATTAGGCATGATGTTCCTGTGTGAACCTACCCAGTCTGAGCACAGAGAAGAACAGCAGCCAGAACATGCAGAGAATGGGCGCCACTGCCACTTGACTGATGGCGGCCGAATGGATCCGCTGGCTGAGCTTTGTGGGTAAATAGGCGTAGTAGATATTATAGCGATCTACCATATGCTTTAGCACAAGGTACAGCAACCCTGCAAAATGAACAGAGCAGAAGATCAAATAATCTTTGATCTTTCTAAATTACACTGTAATTTTTAAAAGTGCTTTTCAGATGGCCCAGTTGCAATGCTTTGCTGGTAAAGTCATTTTGTATGAAGTGTTTCTGTCCTTCTTTGCTACTGCTCAGGTATAATATTTATGTCACAGTGTCTGGTTGTGGTGCCCTGGACTGGCCACTTGAGGGCACTCTACTTGTTTCTTTGTTACATGTTTTGAACTCTGTTTCCCATAGTCCTTTGCCTTGTCGTTCTGTTCTGATCATGATCACCTGTTAGTAATTTACTCATCATCCCATCACTATTTATACCATGCTCACTCTGTCTGTCTTGGCTGCAGTATTGTTTGAGTTTTTGTTGTGTTTTCTGTTCCTTGTGTTTTTAAGTTACATTTTGTCTAGTTTTTGTTCTGTTCTGATTATTTGTTACTTTAATAAACTACTGCACTTGGATCTACTTTGTTTTCTCCTGGCATTCCATGACAATTTATATATTTACCTGTTTACCTAGACCACATGTGAGTGCAAGTTGCCAAATGAATTCAGAACTAAGTGAAAAATCATGATGATGGATGTCAGCCTATAGTAAATAAACAGTCATGGTGTGTATTGGTGACAGAACATGAGTGGAGTGGGCGTCTGGATCTCGGCTAGACAGGTCGGAGCGTCTGGAAGACTACAGCGGGTTCGCACCTAGTGGCCATGTCACACCGTGATACTGAGATGCTGTTGGAGATACGGCTCAGACGCCCACACACTGACTGAGGATGGGAACGAGGTATTAGAACACGCACGGAGGTAGAAATCAAGACTGACGGGAAGAAAGAAAGAGAGCTGTGGGTAAAAAGGAACAGAGAAAATGAGAGGGGGAAAAAATGACACAAATGGTGCAGAGGAGGGGGGGGAAGGGGGGTAATTAGGGAGAGAAAAAAGAAGTACTAAAAGAAAAGCTTGTTTGTTGTAAAATAAAAAACTTAAAATTACACAGACTCACCAAAAGGTACAATGATGGGGCAGGTGATGCTGTAGGTCATACTGACTGAAAATATGCACATTGTCCAGGCATACTCGAGACCAAACTGAAACTCATAGGCCTGACTCTGAGGATGAGAATGGAGAAACAGGCTGTTAGTGTTTTTTATTGCCATTTCTTAACAATCACTATGAACTGTCGTTTTATGGAAAAGAGCAGTGCGAAGATTCTTCAAACAGTCTCCTTTAGTGTTCCACAGAAAAAAATAACAGTGTATGCATCTGGAATGACATGAATGTGAATAAATAATCAAAGAATGATCATTTTCTTGGGGAAACTATCCCATTAGGGACTTTGGACAATTACGATCAATATCAGCTTAATTATATATTTATATACACTGCTATTCATTTTTTTTTTTTTTAAGTTTTAAAAATGAATACCTTTATTCATCAAGGATGCATTGAATAAAGAAGTATTAATATAGAATAAATATTTTTTTGACCGGGGGGGTGGTGGTGTCTAGACAATTACTATATATACTTTATTACTATACATATTAGTATAATTTTTACATATACATACTACATACAATAATGTTTACATTTTATTTATATATTTTTTAAAGAAATTAATACTTTTATTCAGCAAGTTTGCATTTGATTGATCAAAAGTGACAGTCAAGACTTTTACATTGGTACAAAAAAATCTATTTCAAATAAATGCTGTTGTTTTTAACTTATCTATTTATCATGGTTTCCAAAACAATATTAAGTACCACAACTGTTTTCAACCTTTATAATAAGAAATGTTCCTTAGGAAGCAAATTTGCATATTAAAATAATTTCTGAAGGACACTGAAGACTTAAGTAATAGCTGCTGAAAATTCAGCTTTGCCATCACAGGGATAAACAACAAGAGTTATATTTAAATTGTAATAATTTACTGTTTTTGCTATTTTATAAAATAAACGAAGCCTTCAGCCATAAGAGACTTCAATCATGGACTCACTCACTCTTTTAACGTGGATGCGCTCAGCTTTAGATTTGGTAAAGCAAAGGCGAAGAGAGTACACCAGTAGAGCAGGAATACGCAAAAGCTCCATGACCGTTCCGATCAGACTGGACGTGATCACGTAGTTCACAAAAAAAGCTCCGTTATCAGGCAAAAACACACATCTGAGGGAAAACAAAGTGGTTGTAGGTCTCAACAAATTATGCATCTAAATAAATTAACCAACATCTGTAGATTTCAGCAACAGTGAGAACTTACTGAAACTTTACATCTGTTTCATCCAGGAAGTGGATGTCAAAGAGCCACCTGAAGAACAAATCCAAGCTGGGGAGCAGACAAGAAGATATATAATGTATAATACTGTACATTATATATACAGTGGCTAAGTATGTATGATCAGTTCTCCTCACAGGTGTAGTTCATCGCATTAACTAAGAAAATGTTCCACTGATGTTTGCCAGCCACAAAGTGTCTGGATACTTACTGATAGCCTGTTTCTATTGTTTTATGCTGTGTGAGTTAAAACATATGCTTGCTATAAATTCAACATGTTTTTAAAATGAGGTTCATAAAAAATTATTTTTCTATTATAAACATGTTTTTAGGTTTAGGTTTAGTTGATGTATCTGTCTGGGGATTGTAAAAAGAAAATAGCCTCATTAAAAGACTACAATATATATATATATATATATATATATATATATATATATATATATTGTAGTCTTTTAATGAGGCTATTTTCTTTTGACATAAGTAGGACATCCTTGTTTATCATTGACCCACATACATATAGTACTGTATATAAAGGAACATTTAATTCTGAGACAAAATGACATGTTTCACAAAATTGACATGTTGACAAAATGACATGCTTTTATTGACATGTTATTACAGTGTATAATTACAGTATTTCAGATTATAGGATGTTTACCTGGATAGACCTAGTGATGGTAGAATGATTACCATGAAGACAAGCAGTAGAAAGCATTTATGCATGGTGACCTGATTCTCACCGGACCTGAAAGAGACACACATTACAAGAAAAATCTAATGATTACAACTGAGAATACAACTAGAATAAATATATTAAATACACATATTTTGCTATTCCTTTCCTTTTTCACACCAGTTCTTCTTCTAGACAAGACTGTTTGTGGTTAAAGTAAACATAAAACCATGTTGGAAACCCAATTAAGTGACGTATTTCATAGTAAAAAAAGGGAAATGTATTAAGTTAATACCAAAATTTGATTTTATGTTCACTTGTGTATATTAATCATCAGTGTTTCCACTGTAAATACAACAGATACGCAAGTGCTGCAAGTTCTGCAGTTGCGCAATATACATGAGGGTTTGATCCACATGAACTATAATGTGACTCTGTGAAAGACGCCGCCAGTCTGCATATGATTATTCCCTTGTTGTGATCACTATGACAACAAGCCTGGAGAGGCAAGCAGAGAGCGCAAGAGAGAGGGACACCATGTAAACGTGTTGTGCATAGGTGGGTGGGAGACTGGGTTGGGGGCTGTACTGCAGTTATGCAATATGTTTGTGTGCTGATATGAACATGTTTATGCAATAGATTTCAGCCGCACTGCAAATACAACTACCAACAGCACAAACTTACACTGGTCATTGGGACACCATATTTCTGCTAAACATCATATGACTGTGTATGTGTATGATTGTGGTTTGTATAGGTTGATTAAAGGGATCATTCACCCAAAAATGAAAATTCTATCATAATTTACTTACAATCATGCACTTCAAAACCTGTATGATTTATTTTGATGCTTAAATGTCTTTTTTTCCATACAGTGGAAGTCAATGTGAACCAAAACATTCTTCTTTTCTGTTTAGCAGAAGAAAGAAATGCATCTAGGCTTGGAATGACATTAGGGTGAGTAAATAATGACAGAATTTTCATTTTAATGAACAATCCCTTAAATGTATGTGTGTATGTGTATCCCTTTAATAAATGTGTATGTGTGAGGAATGTTGGGACAGCATTAGGAAGAGGAGAAAGGAATTTAGGCCTAAGCTGCTTCATGAAATTATTATTTGTGTGTGTGTGCAATGTTCATAGTTATGAATCAAGCAACACCTTCCCCAAATTCTCATTAACACAATGCAAGAAAATCACACGATTTTAATGTAAACAATAATATATTTTTATTGTTTGAAGACTGAAGTAATAGCTGCTGAAAATTCAGCTTTGCCATCACAGGAATAAATTACATTTTAAAATATATTAACAACAATATTTTAAGAATATTTTTTTTATTTTTACTGTATCTTGATCAAATAAATGCAGCATTTGTGAGTATAAGAGACTTCTTTAAAATAAATAAATAAATAAAATCTTACCAAACCCAAGTTTTCAAATGGTATTGTATAATCCAGATGCATTATGGCAATCAAAATCATGTTGTTTTAACAGACAACAGGAACATTTTTATTGTGTTAATAACACAATTATTTAATTTTAATAATTATATTTACAATTTTAATCAGTGCAAATCCGCCACTTTAATGTATAATTGAGTAAAAAGACCTCCCTGTCATAGTTCTCTCACATTTATACACAGAATAAAAGAGTTTAAAGTCAGATGGAGGAAACAGCATCATACCTGGTCCAGTGGTACTCAAAGAAAGATGAATAGTACACAATGAAGGGCAGGAGAATGGAAAAGGCCCACAGGAGCAGGGTGGGGAAGAACTGGGTAATTACTGGGTTCTAGACAGTAGAAGACAGTAAAAGATCGAATTCAAAACATTCAACTTCCGAAAACAACACAAAAAAGCACTTTCAGTTTTATTTTACATTCTAATGTGGCGTAATACAGCAGGACAGTTATAAAACTGCTTTGATGGTCACTGACCCTTAAGCTTTCAACTGGCCGAGTGACGTTGAACTTGTCCATAGTGTTTACGATGATAGCAGGGGTTGTGAGAAAGAAGAGCAAGAAGAAAAGTAGAATGTTGAGCAGGACGCAGCGGAGCCACCAGCGAGAACCGCACACTGACAGATTTTCCCTGGACGAACACAGGCACCAATCAACACAACAAGGTCTTAACTACAGTTACAGAACAGACAGTGTGTGCTCTCCGAGAATACGTGGGATGTTCAGCTACTATCACATAAATAGGAAGAGAAAAAAACCCCAGCCTAAGGTGGTTAGCTGGTCTCTAAAACTGACCAAAGTTCAGCTGGTTTAGCTAGTCGGCAATTTGGTCTTCCAGCTCAAAAGTGCCCAAAATCCTTCTAAAACCAGCAAAAGTGTTGGAAATCCCTCTGAAACAAGCTTATTTATTGATTTATTTTTTAACAGGGACAGAACATTGGTGACTAAGGGAAAGTTTCTACTCTTAGCCCTGTAAAGCCTGACATACAGTATGAAATAATAGTCCAAAAATATATATTTTTAAAAGGAATCTAAAAAAATATGTTTTTGAGTATCATATTTTATACATTAAGCTTTTACAGCTCATATAGTATGATACAGGAAAATATGAAGCTCAAGGAGAAAAAAAAAACACCTACGTTTTATTCAGAGGGCCAAATGGAGCAAAAACATGAAATTTGATGCAGTTGCTTATATTTATAAGGTCATAAAGCAATATGAAATTCTGACAGCTTATCATGTAAATCAATCAATACGACCTGAATTTTTAGAATTCTACTAAAAGACCTTTTACTCATAAAAGCATAAAAAACAGCGATATATATATATATATATATATATATATTCTATCTTATATTGTTTACCACAAAAGAAAAATATAATTTTTGGTGAACTATTCCTTTAAGTAAAACCAATGCACATGAAAAGCGTAACAACGAGAATGAGGTACAAACAAATACCTTTCAAAAGTAATTTTCCAAAATTGCAAAACCATTTACTCTATAAATGCAGTGGTACAAAACATAGAACTCTCGGGCTACACTGAACTGGAAAATATTCACACTTCAATAAATTGTTTTAATAAGAAGCAAACATGCTACAACATTAGAGCTTATATCCATAATAAAAAGAAAGTCTTGAATTCAGACAAACACACACACACACACACACACACACACACTTGTCCAGTCAAGCAGAAAGACAGGCTGACACTGCCCCCCACCCCACACACACACCCACACACACTCACTCAATATATGATTCTCAACACATATTATGTAAGAGATATAATGGCTTTCACAGTGGTTGTCTAGGCACACACTCAGATTGAGTCTTAATTAATCCAATTTCATCTCTCATATCCAAGTGTAATGGACTGGAACAAAGCATGTCATGAAAAATATATATGACTTCAGCTTGCAGATCACTGTATACTTAAAAAACGTTAAATAAAACATCATATAAAAACATAATAAATCCAGATCGTTGAAAAGGAATAACCTCCCTGCGGTTATTTCTATACTTTTTTCTGTTTCAAGATATAGATGTGGCTATCGTTTCGACTCACCAGTTGATGTCATTAGGGGCCGGGGCGTAAGAAACACCCCACTGATGGGACCGCACCACTGTGGTAATGCTGGACTGCTGGGGTCTGTGGCGGCAGCGAGCTCGGCCGTAGTCTTTCACAATACTACAGAAACATAAGCACAGAGTTTAAAAGAGGTGCATGTATTTCAGCAATAAGGTATGTGAGAAGGTTGCGAATATATAGTGTGAATATAGACTAGACTACTGAATTATTATAATGTGGCTTTTAACAAACTGTATTGACCGATCAAAAGTCAGGACCAGAATGAACTGTTATAAACTTATATATAAAGCTGTTTATTATGTTATACGGTATAAAGACTGTTATAGGATGCAAAGGTTTGGTGAAAAGAAGTTTAAAATACAACATTTCCTTGAATTAAAGCTTTGGTTTATCATATTTGTACAGTATGTGCATTGATCAGTATTTATATATACTTGGATTAAACCACTCATTTCAAATGGATTCATTTTATGATATCTTCATGAACTTTTTGAAGTGTGAAAATTTTGGTGGACTGGACATTCAATGAAGGGACAGAAATCCCTAATTTTTAGACGTTTTGAAGATTAACAAAAATCTTATGGGTTTGGAACGCCATGAGGGTGAGTAAATGATGACATAATTTATTTTTGGGTGAACTTTCCCTTTAAAGACGAGTTTTGCCTTATTTTTCCTGCTAATTAGCTCAGGATCTATCTATACTTTCTACTGGATATTTTTCAAACTTATTGTTTAAACTTAAGAATGACATAAAAAAAAAGCTGATAGAAATCAAACTGATTTCTTGTAATATCATACAGTATCAAACTGCTTATAATTTCAGCTTTGGTAATATTGTGTGTGTGTATATATATATATATATATATAATTTTTTTTTTTTTTTGAAAACATATGGATTTTCAGTAATGTAACCTCAATAATCAGCCATTTATCCACAAGACTTACACGGCAGTCATTCTCTCATCTCTGAAGGTAACAAAGGCAATGCCCAGCCTCTTCATAGAGATACGGTTCTTCTCTGCATTAAACTCATCTGTCAGTTTCTCCTCCAGTTCACTGTAATACTGCTCTGCATCCACCTGACAAAAAGACAATGACATAAAACAGAGCAGTTCATGACTGACAGTTGGTGTATAGTGGTCTCCAGTGGCCAACATGAGGAGGTGCAGTACCAGCCACACGGCCATTCTAAAGGTATACAATTTGTGCACATAAATATATCCATTCTGACAACTATAATGAGTGTGTGAGGGACATTTACCTGTTCAAAGCCACATATATCACAGCAGAAGATCTGTGCACAGGGGTGAGTCTTTATCATGATCCTGCCTTCCTTCTGAGCTTTGGTTGTGAAGTACAGCCTTCCTTTCATTGCTTTTCGCCTGATGTATAGTTTAAATATGGTTTAATTATTTAATTATGCATTATTTGTGAGACTCAGCTCTATGACATGCAGGAGATATGCAAACGCAAATGACCTTTCTGAGTCCAGCTTCATTAGTTTTTGTACATCAAAGCAGAACCGGATGTCTGTGACGGTGCAGCTAGGGTAGGCTTCACTGTTTGGAGATAGAAGAGACATTGGCTTTTAAATAAGTGAAAAATGAATGCCCTCAGTTGTGTTGACATTTAATATCTGATATGCCGAAGTATGGAGATCAAGCACTAGTTGTAATCTGTGGATAACAGATCTGTGCTCTTTACTCACTGCAGGTGTTTGGTGATCAGGCTGGGATCAGAGATTTCTCTGGGAACTGAAGTTATCATTAGAGTTCTGGCCACCTGCAGTAATAATAAATCAAAGTTGTTGTTTTTTTTTCCTGAGTGGTGAACACTACACATTTAAAAAAAAAAAAAGGTTCTTTCTTTGCATATATGGTTCCATGAAGAACCTTTAAAATCCAGGGAAACTTTTAAGTGCACAAAAGGTTATTTATTGTTGAAAAAGTATTTCACACTAAGAAAAAAAGTGTTTTTTAATGCAATATATATATATATATATATATATATATATATATATAACTTTACTCTCTCTCTGGCTTTATATATTTATATAAAAATAAAATTGTATTTATTTTTTACTTTTTTTCAAATTCTAAATTATATGTAAATATAAAAAATAAAGCATATTGTAGACCTGAACATTTTTCATGAGATGCACTCAGTCGGCTTGCAAGCACTGTTGAAAGCAGTGCCACTTATGGACCAGAAATGAGGTGCAATAACACATGAACATGATTAAAGCTCACCAACCTTCTCATCTTCTCTGTATTCCAGTCGTGAGGAATGATGGGCCATGCACAGTACTGTGATCACAAAATACAGCAGAGCAAAGATGCTGTGCAGCCACAGAAATGCATTCCTAATGCACAAAGAAAAGAGAGTTATTAAAATCATGCCAACAACTTCATAAATATGTACATACTCAACAAGGTTATGCTTTTCAGGTCTACATTCATCATAAACAACAAACTTACTGTGCAGGAACATTAACCACCGTTGTTCGGCCGAAATTCTGTGGGCTATCTCCTGAAAAGCATAGAAATAAACAACTTGTGTAACATTTAATGCACTTCTCACATACCAGTGTCAAAAATAAAAGTCTGAAAGTAATTTGAGGCCTGTGTGGTACAGTGCAAACTGAATGTGGAATAAAAAAAAACCTCTCTACACCCTAATCATTACGCTTTGGGTTTGGTTGCTATGACAAATTTGTGAATGTGCCAGTTTATTTCACAAATACAGTGTCAAATGGTTGCATAGAGATGACAGTAAGCATCAAAACCCCCACCCTATTTTAACCAGCCGGCCCCGAAACTGCACCACAAACTGGTCTACCACACATCCACATTGAACGCTTTTAGAGAGCCACAGTAAACTTCTGCCAACAAGGTTGTATGAAAGTCATATGAAAAGCTTATTGCAGGTCTGAAAACGACAAGAGGTAAAGCCGGTGGCTTTTCACAATGCTCTTCTTGTGGCGTGGACAGTCAAGGCCATTCCCATATTTAACTTGGCCCTTCTAACCCTCCATCGTGCAACCCAACCATCTTCAAACACTGTAGGGTGGTCTGAATTATGCTTTTCCACACGTCCACTAATGGAGGGTTAAGACTGAGCGCTTCTACATCTTCAAGAGTTTTCCCAGGCTTTTCCTAGAGTCATTCATCGACAGGCTCACACGGAATCTGCATCCGCAAAACCATACACAAATGTCCCAGCTTTGTGCCTTATTGTAGAACTCTCAGCAACATTTAATGCATTTTAGCATGTTAAAATACATTCTGCAGATTTCTCCAATTCCCTCCAAGTCAATACAGAAAATGCACATTGCCGTCAAAAGTTTGGGGTGGGTCAGACTTGTTGTTTTTGTCTCTTATGTTGACCAAAAACACAATAAAAACATATACTGATATAATGAAGTATTATTAGGATTTAAAATAACTGTTTTCTATTTTAAACTTACATTTTAAAATGTAATTTATTCCTGTGATGGCAAAGCTGAATTTTCAGCATCATTAGCCCAGTCTCCAGTGTCACATGATCTGTCAGAAATCATTGTAATATGGTGATTTGGTGCTCAAGACACGTTTCTTCTTATTATTAAAGTTGAAAACAGTTACATTTTTCTGGACACCAGGCTTCAGGATTCTTTGAGGAATAGAAAGTTCAAAAGAACAGCATTTATTCAAAATACAGTAGACATCTTACTGACCTCAAACCTTTGAACAGTAGTGCATTTATGAAAAAAAAAACTCTGCACAAGCTGACTTACTGTCAAAAATAATAATAATAATTTAATTATGGCCTATTATTAGACAATTTATGGAGAAAGTGAGAAGGAAAATTATTTATTGGGAGGTTGTCACATACTGTGGATCAATATGTTTGTCGCACATGCACTAACCAGTAAGCCACGGTTGACACAAAAGATTTTGGGGATAAAAAATCATCTCACTCACTGATATATTTAAGGATAAGTGTGTTAATTAAGGTTCATTTCTATATCAATAGCAGCAAACAAAAAGAATTAGTTTTCGTGTCTGTAATTATTCAGTCAAACAGGTAGTTCCACCCCAAACTCACACCACTGCTGAGCAAAAAGATGCTGGACTGCTCAAACAAAAAGAGCAATGCATATGTTCGGAATAGCATGCTACCTACTATTCTACATAAACTGTACACAATATACTAGGTTTGCCAACAAGTATAAAGTATAGAACATTTCCAGTGTTATGAATGAGCTAAAATGCAACCATATCTGCCTTGAATTTTTTTTTTCAAATGTTAAGATATTTTTGCACAAAACTGTATTTAAAATAACGATTTAGATAACAGATGTACCCCTCTTGCTGAATTAAACATTTCACATAATAAAATAATGTGACAAAGATTATTTAAAGTCTTAAAAAGTCTTATTTAAAGGTTTTAAGAAAGTATTTAATTTTTACATTTTATTTTCCTTTTAGAATGTGCTTTAGATAAATTTCAGAGTATGCCATCCATGCATTTTTAGCATTTCAAGAGAGTCATTTCTATCTAAGAGTGAAACTCTAATACTCTAACAATCTGTCAAAACTAATTCATGAGATTATTCTAAAAAGTATTTTTTTAGGTGCAAGCACACTGATGAATTAAGATGTAGTGTTGATGTAATGTTGTTTTAAAGTTTAATGCCTTTTCTTGGATACCAAACGTGTTGTGTCTGTTGTCATGAATCCTTTATGGCTGAGCATTACTAGAGCAAACAGTAACCAAGCAGTTATGGATCTGATGGAGGTACCTAGGAGGTTTCCAGAGAGGTTGACAGGCAAGATGATGGTGAGCGACAGCAAACACACCACCATCATGAGCAGGATAATGTGACGCTGGAAAGACAGGTACGTGATCGCGTCAATGCCACATTTACTGCGTATCTCTTCATCCCTATGGGAAGAAAAAAAGTCTTTATTAAGTAAATATTTACAATTGCATTTTTTTTTCATTTGGCAGACACTTTTATCCAAACCAATTTATATTGCATCAGTATACAGGTCAACAACTTAATGCACATTTTTAAAATCTTATCCATTTGTTTATACAAAATTACAAACAACATGCAATTCAAACATACAAATCATTAAAAAAAATCATTTTAAACCTTCAAATGTCCTAATATTGCAAAGAAGATAAAAGCCAAGCAATTAAGAAAGAAAGAAAGAAAGAAAGAAAGAAAACAAACAAACACTTTTTTGGATTTTGGCATCTTCTGTTATTGTGGTTCAACCAACATGCAGAAACAAACGAAAACTGAACAAAAACAAAACAAAACAAAACAAAACAAAACAAAACAATCATTAGAGTTCTGGCCACCTGCATTAATAATAAATCAAAGTTTTTTTGTTGTTGTTTGTTTTTTTCTGAGAGTTGAACACTATTTTTTTTAAATATTTTTTTTTAAAATAAAGGTCCTTTCTTTGCATATATGGTTCCATGAAGAACCTTTAAAATCCATGGAAATTTTTAAGTGCACAAAAGGTTATTTATTGTTGAAAAATGTTTTAAAAAGTATTTCACACTAAGAAAAAAAAAGCGTTTTTAATGCAATATATATATATATATATATTGGCATCTTCTTTTATTGTGGTTCAACCAACATGCAGAAACAAAACAAAACAAAACAAAACAAAACAAAACAAAACAAAAGCTCAATAAATCTCTTAAAATATCAGATAATTTGTCCTTTTTACAAAGGTTTATAAAAATATTTATTTCAGGTTGTAAAATGTCATGTGGTAAAAAAAAAGTACAGCTACTTATGAATTAATAATTTTTTACACTGAAAAATATATTTACATTTTTTGGAAAATAATAATATATGCTCTCTCACATGGTAAATGTGTTCATAATTTTATTACTTGATGGTTACTGTACATTACATGACATTTTATAGTCAGTAAAAACAAAACAAAACAAAACAAAACAAAAGGACTCTCATAACAAGCTCAATAAATCTCTTAAAATATCAGATAATTTGTCCTTTTTACAAAGGTTTATAAAAATATTTATTTCAGGTTGTAAAATGTCATGTGGTAAAAAAAAAGTACAGCTACTTATGAATTAATAATTTTTTACACTGAAAAATATATTTACATTTTTTGGAAAATAATAATATATGCTCTCTCACATGGTAAATGTGTTCATAATTTTATTACTTGATGGTTACTGTACATTACATGACATTTTATAGTCAGTAAATTGAAGCTTTTCTTGAAAATCAGAGTACTATTCTAATGTTTGCAGTCAGTATGCAGTTCTTTTTAACTTTCTATTCATCAAAGAATCCTGAAAAAATTTATCATCATTTGCACAAAAGCATTAAACAGTTGTTTCCAAAATTATAATAATAAAAAATATTTCTTTAGCAGCAAATCAGCATATTAAAATGATTTCAGAAGGATCATGTGACACTGAAGACTGGAGTAATGGCTGCTGAAAATTCAGCTTTACTAAATTATATTTTACAATGTTTCAAAATAGAAAGCAGTTGTTTTAAATTTTAATCATATTTCACAAAATGACTGTTTTCACTGTATTTTTGGTGAGCATAAAACATTTAGAAATCTTACCGACCCCAAACTTTTGAATGGCAGTGTATATTCAAGTTTTTCAAAACCACATGAAACCAACATGAAAACGAACATGTGTCACATGTTTTAAAACTAGATTTTTTTCTTTCCTTGTAAAAGATTTGTCTTTTTCTTTTTTAATCGAGGACATATTATTGACCCATGTGCATTCTCTAAGAATCAAACCTATGACTTTTGTTTTGCTAGATCTGCACTAGTTAGCAGACACAGTCTCTGTGAGAGTTTTCAATGTGTTTCCAATTAATTATTGGCTTCGGTCAACAATATATGTGTGGCGGCCTTTTTAAAAGACCACACAAATCCACGAGGGCGTTGGGGGCTTTTATGATTACAAGGAGCCCTCATACACACAAAAGCACAAACACACACACACACCCCTCCGGCCTCGCCTCACACAGAGCGAGGAAACTCTCAGTTTTTAAGCTTTTAAGGGAACCAGCTAAATATGGCACCAACATGCCATTCAAGTCGTCCAAATAACATCTCTGCAACCGTGGAGACAGACTACAGGCTGGTTTACATTTCTGAAAGGCTTTAGAGCATGCCCAGACGTTAGATGTGCTGGTAAAGCGCCCGGTCTACCTTCACCCTGTGTTTTCCCTTCTTAATGAGATATAACAGGAGCAAACAGGACACTGGTTGATGACATCACCATGCACTTCTTGCACACTTACTTCATGTGGTACAGAGATGTGAGCCAGGAACAGAAGCCCTATAAAGAGAGGGAGGGAAGACAACGGTGTCATAAAAAGGTCTGGCATATAAAAAAAGAGCGCGTCTGGCTAGCTTAGCATCTGTCAGAATCATTTGTCCTTTAAGTGAACACGGATAGCGTAACAAGTGGGAAAAGCCCTGCAAATGCATGCAATATCTTTAACGTGGCTGTGATGTCTTGAACCGTCATTGCAAATAAAATAAAAGGAGACAGAGTGAGGTCAGAATATAAACGGACAGATAGTGTGCATAAAAGAAAATAGCGTCTAAGTGCACATGCTCTTTTATATGACATCGGCTCTGGGGCGACGCTCCGTAACAGCGGCTGACTAATCCACGTCGACAGATTGAACTTTATTTTTGCCTCTGTATGTCTTTAGGTTTCAGCAGTAGTAAATTTGCATCACCGTGAAGATGATAGTGACATTAAAACACAATCTATTAGTTGTACTCATGCTTTTATTCCTTTCTAAGCAGAGGTGTTGTTGATAATGACAAGGCCCAGTGGGTTTTCTCACTGCCAAATGTGGTAAATTCAAGCAAAGATCCTGTTTCTGCATGATCAAACATTTCTTAAATGTGTTTGATGCTTTTATTTCTTTGTCTCTTTTACAAAAGGTTCTCACCATGTCCTTGGTCTCTGAGTCTGATGGGCTGGATTCTGATGGGGTTTTCTCTTTCTCACTTTGTTCTCCATAGAATAGTGATGTCAAGCTACAGAACAAAGACAAACAATAAAATTGACAGGTAAAAAAAAAAAAACCTCACATACTGTTAGAAAATTCTAAAACTGAAATAAAATTCCCATGTAGGATTATACGTAGACTAGGGCTAGTTATCACATATTATCAATACTTTAAATAGCCTATAATACATTTTAAATGTAGAAGATGGCTTTTGAATTTAGATTTAGATTTCAAACAATTGTGTGTGTGTGTGTTTGTTTGTGTGTGTGTGTGTGTGTGTGTGTGTGTGTGTGTGTTAAATTAACTGTATCTTTTTCTTGGGCAATTGTGGAAAATATTCAATAGGTTTTCTGTAGCCCAGAGATTAAGAGAAACATTTAATAATATTAATAACCTTTAATGGCTTTTCAGCAAATAAATAAATAAATAAAGAGTAAAAAACTGAAACACAAAATGTAAAATGCAACATTCAAAACATTGTTTTGCTCATTTAATTTAATTAATTCTATAATACATGATAACTTGCCACTACCTGACATTTACCTTCATCCTGAACATATCAGTTAAAATCTACCTTCATTATAAAGTAAGCTTGAATGCATCTCATTGTGGTTTTATACTTGTTAATATGGGTAACACTTTAGATTAGGAAACACTATACACGCCCCTTATTGCTGATTGGCTACAAGTTTGTTTTGCGATTCGGCCCGAATCAGTTTTCTAAAGTGTTTTTGAAAAATCACATACTCTGCCTTTAACTAGATGCTTATTAGCATGCATATTACTAGCATATTGGCTGTTTATTAGTACTTATAAAGCACATAATTATTCTGCATGACCATATTCTAGATCCCTTAACCCAAACATAACTACTGCAACAACTACCTTACTTACTATCAATAAGCAGCAAATTAGGAGTTTATTGAGTTCCCTAATCTGAAGTGTTACCCAGATAACCACATATAAAACAACCATTTAAGCAATTAATTTTTTATTCAAAACTGTACTGAGATATATATAACAACTAGCCCTAGTCCCATCACTGGATGATGCCTTTTCTATTACAAATGTCCCTCTCCAGCTTCCATCAGTGCTAGGCCCCAAATAATTGTTTTTCCTCAGTGTTAACTCAATGCCAGATCCAAAACTTGCCTCAAGATCAGAAAATCAAGCAGCGCTGCTGCAACAGAAGTCTTAAAACTTATGATCGAATTCCACCCACTGCTCCCACAGGGACTAAAGTTTTTAATACATTTTTTTTTTTTTAAATAGAACAGGTATTTTGAAAATGTGAGCAAAATTTAAATGAAATGGCATTGACAATGAAATGCTGAAATAAATAAATAAATAAATGACACAATTACTACATACTGTATATACAGTGGAGACCAAAATTATTAGAACAAAATTAGAGAACCTATAATTTCCTAAATTTCAAGGTCACTGCTTAGTCCTATTTGAAGTCATCCTAACAGGAGCAGAAGGGCAGTTTTAAGCATATTTCATAAATTAATTGCATTCAGAAGCACAGTATAAAAAACTTACAGAGATATTTGAAAAAGAACTGATAAAAAAATGTCAGCAACTGCACGAGAAGCTGGTCAGTCCAAATCTGTAATTTCTAGAATATTGCAGTTTTACAATGACACTAACTCCCCCAAAAACGCAGGCCGTCCACGTAAGACAAATGCACGAGTGGACAGAATAATGCAGAGCTTCTCAGTTCAACACGGCAGCTGGAATTGCTTATGGTATGGATCTGTCTCAGCGTGTTTAAGAGAAGTTGGACTGAAATCGCACTCTGCAGTGACCAAGCCTCTCATCAGCAAAAATAAGAAAGGCTAGGCTCACCTTTGCTGAGGAGCATGTTGTGGAGAGGGGAGAACTGGACCAAAGTTAACTTTAGTGATGAGAGCATATTTGGGTCAGGTGGGAAACATTTTGTTCAGGGTCAAACTGGGAAAAGACTGAAGCCCAAGTGTGTAAAGATGTCAGTGAAAGGTGGAGGAGGACGTGTCATGGTTTGGGGGATGTTTTCTGCAGCAGGAGTTGGGCCTCTTATACAGACACATGGCAGGTGAATGCAAATGTTTATCAGAACCTCCTTCAGCAACATGCGGTACCTTCCCTGCAAGCATCTCCCAATCAGCCTGCAATTTTAATGCAAGACAATGCCCCCGTCACACTGCAAAACGGGTAAAACTTAGCTTCCTTGAAGCTAAGAACATTGAAATAATGAAATTGCCTGCTCAGAGTCCTGATCTAAACCTGACTGAAAATCTCTGGAAAATCCTTGGCAACAAAGTTATGGCTAAGAAACCCACTACAATTACTGAACTATGGAAGAGACTGGAAGAAGAGTGGACCAAGATCACAGCAGCACAGTGTGAGAAACTAGTGATGTCCTGCAGCCGCAGATGTGCTGAAGTCAATCAAAGCAGGGGCCTCTACACTCTCTACTAATTTCTGACAGCTGCAACCCTTTAAAATTTTAGTTGTAATCTGTTTTTTGTGCTACAGTGGTTCCTGTTCTCTAATTTTGATCACTGTGTTTCGCACAAAATAAAGTTTTTTTCAAATGCTTTGGTGATTTTTGTCAAACATGTTAGTGGAACAGTGGTATACCCACAGCTAATATTCCTTCAAATTTTGAGCGATGAAGATTAATAATATTTCATAAAAAAATCAATCAAATATTTATAGATCTCTAATTTTGATCTCCACTATATATATATATATATAAAAGGAATACTTGATGAGGGGCCGTTGAATTATTAGAAAATAATGCACCCAAGGTGGTAATGCGGCCACAATCAATCAGACAAATAATATAACATCATGATCCAACTATGCCCTGTGTAAACCAGCAGGTGGCACCAGGATTTCACATTGACCTGCTAAGCATTCAGTTCACTCAAACACCACACACAGTTCGATTATTTACATCTTAATGCATTCTTCAATCAGTCAACAGTTCTGAGATGATACCTGTCATTTTCCATAAGCAGAGCCAGGCGACCGTAGTCCCACGCTGCTTTCCTCAAACAGGAGAAGATTAGAAGCAGGAACTAGAATACAGATACACAAAACCACAGTTATATCAGCATACATATCATGTTTTTAGAGTGGCCTTAATAAAAAAACATATACTAATTTATATGGAAACTGTTAGTAAATGATGTGCACAGCGAAACATAACTTGATATAATGCTCATATAGAGATTGCAAATAATCCAGAATATACCCAGAAGCCATTACGTCACTTTTTAAATGTGTGTCAAAGCTATCGATATAAAAAGAGTAAGAACTAACCTATTTGTGTAAGCAAGCACTTACACTCACTAGACCCCAGGCCAGCAGTAATAATTAACCATTTCTTTGGCCGGAGAGAGGCGAGGTGAATGGTTGTCTTGGAAACTAACAGGCAGTGAGGTCTGCATGCACACTTGTGTTCATAATGACTCCGGAAGGAAGAGTCAATGACAAGACAACTTAAAACACTGTCTGCTGGGAAGCTACAGGTCTCTATTGAGCTTCCTAGGATATGCTGGTTAGCAACTTGTTCTAAACTTAATGGTTGAAGCGTGTGGTTTCTGCCCCAGAAGCGTCACCAAAATGTGCTACAACAGCGTGGTTTCGTAGACACAGAGTGAATGTGCTAGATCAGTCCAGATCTGTCTCCTATTGAAAATGTATGACCAGCCATGAAAAGGAGAATCAGACAACGACGATCAGAGACTGCTGAGCACCTGAAGTGTTGTATCAAGTGAGATTGGTCAAAAATTTTGCTTGCAAAACTTTAAAAATTAGTATCCTCAATTCCCCAAAAAATTAAAGACTAATTAAAAGGAAAGTTGATGTGACACAGTGTTATACAGGCCTCTGTCCCAACATTTTTAGAGTGTGTTGCAGCCATCAAAATAAACATTTGTTTATATTTACTAAATAAAATTAAGTTGGCCATTGAAAACATTGGATTTTTTTTCTTTGTACTTTAGTCAATTAAATAAAGGTTAAAGAGAATGAACAATAACATATTCTTGATTTTATGGCATTTCACAAAATGTCCCAACTTTTCTGGAATCGGGGCTGTACATACATGCCACTGAGTTAACGCAGATGCACTGTTCATCAAATTAATTTAAGTCTGTTAACCTTTCTCTTTTATAGATCAGATGGGTGAATGTCATGGGAAAGAGTCCAAGTCATAATTTATTCCAAAATCAAATAACTAGACAATAACTTGACATTAGGACTTTTTACATTGTAACACTATTTTCATGACAACTAAGCAAACTCCTCTCCCAAATTCTCATGAATTAAAATAATCCAATATTTTGTATTAAAATAATATAAATATAATGTAAATGAAATAATTTTAAATATTATTATTATTAGTAGTATTAATTATTATTATTATTATTATGCAAATACAGTACTCAATATGAGAGGTAGGACTTTAGAGCAAAATTTTATGGAAACTATTTTTTTTCTTTTAATTTTTGGGTGAAACAAACATGTTATTGACAGGTGTTGTGAGATTCATTAGGTTCACACTCTCATAACGGTTAGAAGTAATAACCCTTAATCATAATATTATAAGAAAATATGTTAGATGCACTTGACATTAAATGCATGTCATGCAGTTGCAGCTAAACAATGCTGCAGAATATTTTAAATATGTTATACCAGCCATAGAACGACGTTGATGGCGAGGACGGTGGGGACTCCTCCGAAGGGCAGGCCTTGCAGGACGCTGCTGCGGGAGTGAGAGCGATAACATCTCTCCGCTGTGCTGTTCTCCTCCATCAGTGAGCTCAGGAAACTCCTGACGTCCAGCTCCTCCACAGAACTGCCACTGCCTGCAGGCCAGGACTCAAACGCCGGCTGAGCCGTACCCAACAGGTCAGAGCGCACCGCCATGGCAGTGGCGCGAGTCTCAGGAAGCCCTTCAAACTGTCAAAGCATCACTGAGGAGAGACGACAGGAAACAAAAAAATGAATCAGGTGAAAAGTTCGAAAAGATAATAACACTGAATGTACTATAGTGTCAAATGATGATGTCAACTACTCATTTGGAAAAAATACAAAATTAGTCAATCTGGAAACATAAAACAGACTTAATGAACTTCTCAGTTAAGGAGAAAAATTTGAGTTCATTTTGGTGTTGTTATTGTTAACTAAAACTTTTAGTGCCTTGGCAACTCACAGAATTAACAGAAAAATACATTAAAATACATTAAAGCTAAACAGAAATGTTTAAAAATTCATAGTAAAAATGAAAAAAAAAACCTGAAAATATAAAATAAAAGCTAATTCAAAGTATTAATAAATAATATTGTAGTAGATAAATAATACTAAAATAACATGTTTATAATGAGATCTCTGACTTCTGATGGCAGACATTTGGTATCTCGGGGGCAGTCGTGGCCTAATGGTTAGAGAGTCTGACTTTTAACCCAAAGGTTGCGGGTTAAACCGAACCCCATTATTTACATTGATAATAATAAATAATTCTTCATTATCAAATCAGCATATTAGAATGATTTCTGAAGGATCATGTGACACTGAAGACTGGAGAAATGATGCTGAAAATTCAGCTTTGCCAGCACAGGACTAAATATGTTTTAAAATAAAAACAGACGTCTAATCAATTGAATTTACAAAACTTAAACAATTTAATAATTTATTACAAATGTAACAATAACAGTGCCCTATGAACTGTGTTCTTAATTAATTTAATTTTTTTCTGGATTCTGAGTTTTATGATTTAATACAAATTTATTATCAAAAACACTGGTAATCACACGAATGCATAAAAAGTTCATTTTTAAAATGTAATCAAATGAAATTTAGCACACAAATTGCTACACAACAGAGGTTTATGTTTAAATTAAAATATGGATGAAAAAACTGTACTGTAAACTGTATTGTTGTTGAGAATATATTCTACTGAACAATAGTAATATATTTCTGTCACACTTTCTTAAAGTTATTCTTTTTTTTTTTAGGGTTGTAGTAAAGATCTTTGTGTTTCTGTGTTGTGAGATGAAGTTCATGTGGAGTGTCTTCATATAGTGAAATTATATGCTAAAAAAACAAGAGTAGGTCCTATGTGTGAAGTAGACAAAAGTACACCACACAGACTTCATATTTAAATGTCTTCTGGCACTTTAACATTTACAGACTTTAGTCCACATTACAGTTTGAGTGTACACGCCTGTCTTTGAGTTATTTATCCAAAATTTTGTGACATTCTGAATTACAGGCCCTGTTCAATTTTTATGACTGGATTCTGTGATTTTGTCTACATATTTCTGAGGTACCCAGGTTTGAGCAGTTAAAGCACTTAAGTTTGCAAACAAATCGGTGCTGACAACAGTAAAATTCGAACAAACATTTCTAAACCTTTAAACAAAAACTGGGGCAGCTCAAAGCACCGCTTTCATTCAGTTTAACAGATGTGTTTCATTTACCTTTATGAATATTGCCCTCAAGCACATTAACAGGAACACACAATACCAGCTCACTGGTTTGTTGATATTACAGATAATGCTGTGCCTTAAACTGCTGGTTGCCATAGTAATAAACAAACCATCTCCCAACTCACACTTTTAGACTCAGCCACTTTATATCAGTCAGCTAATTCCCATAAAATCACTTTAAGATGCTACATCATCCTCAAGTCCTGCAGCAACACATTGACATTGATAATAAATCTTATCTTTGAAATATCCACAGATTAAACATGCAGTTTAACTAAAACTAGTGATTGTGTTCCTATTACCTATCATCAAAACTGTTAAGAGAAAGAGAGAGAGAGGGAGAGAGAGAGAGAGAGAGAAAGAAAGCAGAAGGTAATGTTAGTTATGATGCTGTCATTTCTTGTTGTGTGTAATGTCAATCAGATGGCCATCTAAAATAAAATCAAAACACACAATGAATCAGAATCAGGAAAATTTCACACAACAAAACCTTATTATGTTAGCTTGAGATGATCTACTACACTCTCAGAAGAAAAGGTACAAAAGCTGTCACTGGGACGGTACATTTTCAAAACCTTTGTACCTAAAGTGTCCATATTAGTACCTTAAAGGTACATATTATTGTTACCTAAAGTCAGTGTACACATTAGTTCCTAAAAGGTACAAAAGTGAAAAGTTACCTTTTGAAAAGTTACTTTCATCGAGGGTGTCAAAACTTACGGATTATTTAACCAACAACCACTGTTCAAGACCTTCAGATATTCATCTATTTAGCTAGCTATCTATTTATCACTAGTAAAGCCTAGCAACTAGTCTAGAGAATGCTAACAACGTTAAGTCATGCTAACAACATGCTAAGAAACATGCAATGTGTTAAAACAGGTTAGTAATATACTAATTCATGTAAGCAACATGTTAAAACATGTTAAAACATGCTAGCAACAGCTAAAACATGTTAACTGTTTCAAACATTGGCTTTCTCAAGCCAACATAAAAGTTTGTCCTAACACATTTACTCTCTAGTTCTGTTATGGCACTGTAAAAATAAATTCATGAAAGAAATCCCATTATAATAACAAAGAACAAGTTATTTTTTTTAATTGTATGCTTAAAGATTTAATATTTTATTGGCACAATAAAAAATTAGAGCTGTCAATCAATTAGAAACGTTCATTGAACTAATTATATGACAGGGGTCACCAAACTCGGTCCTGGAGCGCTGGTGTCCTGCAGAGTTTAGCTCCAACCCTAATCAAACACACCTGAACCAGCTGATCAAGGTCTTAATAGGTATACTTGTGTTGAGGCAAGTTGGAACTAAACTCTGCAGGACACCGGCCCTCCAGGACTGAGTGTGTGATAGGATGCCCAAATCCCCTATCATTTTATAAATAATACTGTTTTTGGGTCACAGAATGTTGTTTTAAGAGATTTTTAGGCGAGAATGTAGTTGTTTAGAAATTTGAGTTGAATTACTGAAATAAATGAACTTTTCCACGACATTCTAATTTATTGAGATGCACCTGTATGTGGTTTGTTAATAAAGATAATGTCTATTTGAAAATTTGCCTCTATGTTTTCGGAGACGTGAGCTCCAGGGCGTTAGCGGCTGTTCCGCGCTCATGAACCCGCCGAGAGCAGCCTCACCTCGGCCAGATCTTCTGGAATTTGCCGCTGGCTCTGATGTCTCTATAGTGCTTAAACATAAGATATAATTCATTTTGGGTAAATCTAATGGACAGTCTTTGGTCTCATTAATCTATAATTTGTTCCAGAGCAAATAGTTTTGTCTGAGGGCAAAATCTCATATCAGAGTGCCTTTGTACTTTTGACTGAACTTGAATGATGGCTGTTGTTGTTGTTTGTTAAATATTATTATTCAATAATTAGATGGCGACAAGAGACTGTTTTTATGTGTGAGTCAGCAGTAAAGACTTCTATATTGAAAGAGACTGAAACAGAGTTGTAAACTAGGAAGTTACTTTTCCTTTTAAAAAACACCTTGTAAGATGCAGCCATCAAATGCAGCGCTGTCATCGGAAATCACCCTTAACAGATGAAAGGATAGTACTACAAAGATATCGCTCTCCTCAGCGGACATTCAAACTAATGTTTTATTGTGAATATGAGATTGAGCTGAAGAATGAATGCTGTATCAGATGCAGGTAATCACACTCGCTCAGTCTATCTCTCTCATAATACTCCACTCTATATAATACAGTGAGATTTTAATACAGTAATAGCCTACAATAAGCTTTTAATAAAGCAACTCAATGTTCCTTCGTTACTAGTTCTAAAGTGACGTTTTCGAATTAGTAATGGAGGCTTGAGCTCAGCTGTTAAACTGTCAACTTGAGATTTGAATCCATGGCGGAAGGAAATAATTCTGCAAAAAAGAGGGTTTTTAAAGACACTCTGTTGTTGTTTCTTATGTATTTACACACTTGTGCTGTCGAACTGTTGTATAAATGCAATATCACACTTGTAGCAGTGCAATATGGCTGCCGAATCACAGTCGTGCTGATATACAGCCATGTCGCACGCGCTCATGAACCCGCCGAGAGCAGCCTCACCTCGGCCAGATCTTCTGGAATTTGCCGCTGGCTCTGATGTCTCTATAGTGCTTAAACATAAGATATAATTCATTTTGGGTAAATCTAATGGACAGTCTTTGGTCTCATTAATCTATAATTTGTTCCAGAGCAAATAGTTTTGTCTGAGGGCAAAATCTCATATCAGAGTGCCTTTGTACTTTTGACTGAACTTGAATGATGGCTGTTGTTGTTGTTTGTTAAATATTATTATTCAATAATTAGATGGCGACAAGAGACTGTTTTTATGTGTGAGTCAGCAGTAAAGACTTCTATATTGAAAGAGACTGAAACAGAGTTGTAAACTAGGAAGTTACTTTTCCTTTTAAAAAACACCTTGTAAGATGCAGCCATCAAATGCAGCGCTGTCATCGGAAATCACCCTTAACAGATGAAAGGATAGTACTACTAAGATATCGCTCTCCTCAGCGGACATTCAAACTAATGTTTTATTGTGAATATGAGATTGAGCTGAAGAATGAATGCTGTATCAGATGCAGGTAATCACACTCGCTCAGTCTATCTCTCTCATAATACTCCACTCTATATAATACAGTGAGATTTTAATACAGTAATAGCCTACAATAAGCTTTTAATAAAGCAACTCAATGTTCCTTCGTTACTAGTTCTAAAGTGACGTTTTCGAATTAGTAATGGAGGCTTGAGCTCAGCTGTTAAACTGTCAACTTGAGATTTGAATCCATGGCGGAAGGAAATAATTCTGCAAAAAAGAGGGTTTTTAAAGACACTCTGTTGTTGTTTCTTATGTATTTACACACTTGTGCTGTCGAACTGTTGTATAAATGCAATATCACACTTGTAGCAGTGCAATATGGCTGCCGAATCACAGTCGTGCTGACATACAGCCATGTCGCACTGCTACTTGTGTAATAT